AGTCCATGTAGAAAATGAGCGACCATGTACTTACACAGAGTTTTTAGCTTCGAATTAATCACTCAAACACAGGGGGAGGGCAATTAACGCCTCGAGCAACATAGATTGGGTGGCAGGAGTCGAGTGAAATATGTGAATTAGGGAGAGAGTAGACGGATCTTACGCGGCAAGAGGGAGACTTTGATAGGGCCCAGGAAAGGACTACGTAATAATATGACAGATTTTGGTCAACATTTCCAGCACAATGGGGAAGGGGGTGAGAACGCCACATGGAGTGTGAAGGGTTTTCATGGATGCCGCTCGAAAGAGCACACCACACTACATCAAAATAAGCACCGTAAATTTGTGACAGGGAAGGTATGATAGGATGATTTAGGAAATGTGAATAGCCCAGAGCAGAAGGGGAGATACCACAACTGTTTAGCACACGTTTGGTCAAAGGATCGGCTTCATTTATCTCTTTGACGAGTTGTTGAATGGTGCTAAGAATGGCGAGACTCACTGATGATGACTACGATGCCGGCGAAACGTCTGGGAATGTACCACGTCTACAATTCAACTTTGGAAATGATCATGCAAACAATGGACCCCGGACTAGATGCGTTCCAATAAGTCTTCCTACCAATATGACCATGTTGCGAAAACCAGGTCAAACAACCTCTATACAACTAAAGGAGACCTCGACCACACAAAAGGCCACACCATCTTGGTCTTCATACTTTCGATTATTATCATTAATTTTATCTTTTATCTTCATCTTATTGAAGGAGTTATTAATTATTGCTACGGTAAAATATTAAAGCAAATATTACTTTTATCAAAAGCTAAAGCTTCATACCTTATATTTATGTAAAAATAAGAGGTTTTCCGACTAGGTACGCCTTTATGATTAAATGAGCTATCTCTCCTTTTTCCACCTTGCTATCTTTTTTAGGTTAATCAGTCAAATACTTCTTTTGTGACTGGTGCCTCTAATGCATCTATGACTACCGCAAACACAACCGGTGTTGCACAAGCCGATGATGAACTAGGGCTAATGGGAGCCACTGCAGATGATGCTGAGGCTGACTTTGTCCGGCGAATATGCGAAAATGAGCTAGTACCTCTACCTATGGTGTCTAGCGAAGAAGGCGGCGATCCTCAAAATATATCAAGTCCAACTACTGCTAACAAAGGCATCGATCCACCTGGGCACGATAATCCTCACCTGGCCTCTTCGCCACCACAAGCAATTAGACAGCGACGTGACTTACCTCTACTCAGCCGTATCTTCCCTCTTGTTGTTCATATCTGCTCACATCCTAACCGTTTCCCATATCCTGAAGTGCAAGCAGCTTCTAGTTTGGCTTTAGTCAAAATGATGCTTGTATCAGTAGAGATTTGTGATCGGCATTTATGTCTTCTTTTCACACTTGCTGAACAATGTCCTTACGAAGTAGTGCGAGCCAATTTGATTGTTGGCCTTGGTGATTTGTGCCGCCGTTATCCTAATCTTATTGAACCCTGGACGCCACAGTTGTACTCTCGATTGCGCGACACTTCCCTCAAGGTGCGTATGAACGCGCTGAATACATTGAGTCATCTTATTCTGAATGACATGGTCAAGGTAATTTGGGCATTTTGTTTCCTTTCATTATAATTTCCGGACTAGTTCTTAAACATTCATGAGTTGAAAAGCTAAATATACTTATAATTTAGTTTGTAAGGGCCACAGTTTGATTTTTTTTCAAATGTGTTTTTTTATTCACTTATTTGTGTATATTAGTATTTTCCTTATTATCTATTTCAACTATTTCCTACCTTTTAATGTGGGTTCTGCATTTGTCACAAAAAGTTCCTTTTCAAGGTTACTACGTTAATTATCTCGCATTACCGAACTATACTTTTAAAAGTCACAGCACATACGAACTCGCATCTTTTTTCATTTATGATGATTTACAAGACCCTTCTCCCTACCGCTTCAATTATAATTAGACCCACCAACATGTGTCAAATTAGTCTCCCTTTCTTTAACACCATAATATTAACATAACCTAACAAATTTTTTTTCGAAATATTAACAAGACAACCTAGGACTGCCATTCTTTTTTCGAATTGTTCTCTTATCTAAATGCATGATCATTTTGTGTATTTCTTCCAGCGACTGCAGGATTGCAATGCTAAAGGGTTGGCTCCTTGTGGTTTTCTCAAATAATTATTTTCTAATATTGCATTAAATATTTTAATTGAACCCAATTGCCAATTTTTCCCCTAAACCATTTATTAATCTTCTCCATTTTTTATCTTTGCGATTTATGTTTGCTACATATTTTAGTTATTATGCTTTTTACTTCATTATAACCAAATTATAACCAAACTTAAAATTAAGGTCTTTACTTGACGTTTTTTAGTGTCATAACTGACACGTTGACACATTAAACATTATTGTCGGAAGTTTTTTTGTAATTTGTGAGTCGACATTAACCGGCCCTGTAGGAAACCTTTGCCGTATTTGCGTTCATTTGTATAAATTCTATACGATATAATCTAATTGAAGATGAAAAGATCCTGTTCCAATTTTTGACGAGGTAGACCTGGGGAGTTGTACTGATCTCTGATAAGTCCGAGGAATTTTGGTGTTTCACTCGCATAAATATCAGGTCTACAAAAATATTTGGTTGTCAGTGTGGTCGTGGTAAAGGTGAATCAGCAAAAGAATATGAACGAAGGATAACGCTGGGTCGGGGCAACTAAAAGAGCTTGGTAGAGTTGTGCGGTCAGTGTATAGTCACCAATCAATGAGATGTTGCAAAGGGCTAATACAGACACGTGTCGTCGCTTTAACGCGGTTCCTGCTTTTGTAGAGCGAATGTCGTCCTGTATATATGGATGCAACAAATCAGTCGTTAAAGAACTTTACTTGGGCTGCAAACTTTGACTGAGTGTTTGTTTTTTACGTCAAGGCCTGTCCGATTTGTAAAATCGCAGCTGTATAAAAGGTAAAGAACCGTTGGGAAAGTATAGGGCATACTATAAAATATACACCGAGAGAGCACTTATTCCTGCTTTAAAACACTTTCGTGATTTAAATATCGGTTCCTGATTAGCTTGATGGGTCCCGATCTGATAGGCCCAAGGATAGAATTGATAGAATGGTGGGATTTAAAAGATCGACTCGGACAAAGAATGGGTACGAATGATATCCTCGGCCCGTTTTTATGCTAAATTAACGTTGAGAGATATCTACCTAAGTAACCTAAGGAAA